GAGCTCTACAAGACCACCTAGTAGTATTTTTTTACTGTAAAATGTTTGATATTTGCTGCAAAATATTTTTCTACCTATAAGTAGATGCCAAAAAAAATTTATCAACTTTCTCCAATAAATTGCAATATGTTATTGCTTGCAAACATGATTCACTAGCACTGTTTACTATCAGGTTTAATGTATGTGAAGCACAAGGAACATAACGAGCTGTTTGACTATGTTTTTAATGCGGTTTTTGAGCTCATTAAATTTTCCGGCATAAATGGTGCACTGTCGTACCTTTGTCCTCTACAGTTGCAAATATCTAGACCTAATATTTCAAGGTTCCTTAAAACTTCATTTTCTAACGATTTTCCTGTGTGCGAATAAATTTTTAAAAATCCAAAACATCTCTCTATTGGAATTCCATCTTTTGATACATCACACAATATAAAAGTTAACTGTTCTAGGTGTGTTATATCAGAGAGTCAATTATAATTGAAAACTATTTGGGGGCCTTTAACTTCTGACGTGAATGTTTCTAACATTTTTTTGTTCAATATTTCAATAAATTCATCACAAATAGTTGATGAAAGATAACTCACATTCCTGTTCCAGCTGACACGAATTTTTTTTATATGCAAAGCTAAAAACTCATCAAATTCTGCCAAATGTTCTAGAGTTCCTACGTAATTTTCACTATGGGAAGCAGAAAAGAGTTCATTTCTGCCACGAAATGCAAGAACATTTTTATCCAAAAATTTTATTCTTGCTACTATTCATAACAATATTTTTCTCCAATATTTTTTTTTAATTCTAAATACTGTTTAACAACAATAGTGTCGATACACCATCACATAAATTTCTTGCTATTAAAATTTTAATAGAATGTTTATGATCAGTAGAATTTTCGTGTTCTTCTACTCCTACATTTGCATTTTTCCAGTCCGAGTATCCTTCTGTAAAAACTGTTCATTTGATCAAAAATATCGTGCAAACATAGCAGTAAATTGCTTTACTTTTTGGACTGTATGCTAATCATTCTCATTCAACAATTTTACCATTTGCTTTATTGCGAATAGAAATATTTGTCTTTAATGAGCGAGTTACAGTTTTTCCACCTGTTGTTAGTACATTTTTAGTGGTATGCATAAATAAACTATTTGATGGTGGTTTATTTTTAAGCAAATAATGTTGCATGGCTGTTGTTAAATGTAAAGTCCACAAAGAAATGTCCAAATTTTCTAAAACTAAAGTTTCATTAATGGTGTAGATATTCTACATTTTGAATTTCTTCATGACTTACATTTTGTTTTTTCTCCACAATATCTGGTATGTTTTCCATGTTTTTATTTCTAATACTTCAATTTCAGTTTCATTTCTTTCAGTCATTTCTGCATGTACTTCCTGGTTTCCAGAACATTCACCAACTTCTTTTTCTATAATCTTTGCTACTTCTGCATCAATATTACCTGTTTTTGTATAATATTGATGCAGAATTACCAACATATTTAAACAGAGCATTTTTGTTTGTTTGTTTCTTCTTTCTGCATTTTTATCTTAAGCTTTCGATTTATTTTTAAGCAAATAATGTCGCATGGCTGTTGTTGAATTAAAAGGCCACAAAGAAATGTCCAAATTTTCTAAAACTAAAGTATCATTAATGGCGTACATATTCTGCATTTTGAATTTCTTCTTCGTGACTTACATTTTGTTTTTGCTCCACAATATCTGGTACGCTTCTATGTTTTTCACCTCTCTTACTTCAATTTCGGTTTCATTTATTTCAGCCATTTCTGCATGTACTTCCTGGTTTCCAGATTTTCTATAATCTTTGCTACTTCTGCATCAATATTACCTGTTTTTGTATAACATTGTTGCAGAATTACAAACATATTTAAACAGAGCATTTTTTGTTTGTTTGTTTATTTGTTTCTTCCTGCATTTTCAGCTTAAGCTTTCTTTTTTTCGGCACCGGAAGCCAGTGTTGTCAGAATGTGTGATTTTTCACAAATTTTGCGACCAAAATTGACAAATTTGTGCTACTAAAATTTTAGTATTTCCGATTTGGGGAGATTTTTTCGACCTCCCTCATTTCCTTATGCTATTTTTTCGACTTCAAAGTTTTTTTTAATATTTTGTTAAATGCTTTGTAAAACATAGAATTATGTAACTTATATTAATGACTTTAGCACTCTACAAATTTTGTTTTTAAGACAGTCCCCCTCCTCAGTTCAGTTGTGATAACGAATCAAACAAACGAAGTTGCAGCTTGCACAAAAAATATTGGGTATCCAAACAGAGAAAGAAATAAAATTCATCCTCCTGATTAATAATATTGCTAAGAACCAAGGAAGAGAAATGAATTAAAAATCAAAGCAACTGCATTTTTCTAAATAACAACACAAATAAATTTAGCAGTGAAAGAACAAACAAAGTTTTCTTAAGTAATACGAATCTGAAATAAATCCACCACCCAGAACGGAAAACTCACTGAAAAGCATTCCTCAATTAAAATGTTCACAGTTAAGCAAGGGAAAAAAACCCACTGGATTAAAAAAATTAACTGCCAACTCAAAAAAATTAGTACAAAAGTGCTAACAATCTAAACAAACACGGGAAATATCTTACATATTAATTTAAAAAGAGAAATCTAAATTAAATAAGAATTAATTACAAAAGGAAAACAATTTAAAGAATTGAAAATGAGCAGTATAGTTTTAAAAATTTAGTTAAAGCTATGGAACGTAATTAAAACGACTAAGGATCGAATACAGTCTGTAACTTACCAAAATTTGTGATGACGTCAGAGGTATTATGAGCACGCATTACTATGACATCACAAAAATCACGTGATCTCTGACACCATTTGTGACCTTTTGCGAATCTTTTAGTTTTCTTTTGCTACTTTAGTTGAAAATTTTCTGGCAACACTGCCGAAGCATGACAATAATTTATTTTATATAAAATATTTATACAATTTATTATATAAAATGTTACTTCAACTAATTAATAATCACTTCCAGAAATTTAATATTTAGAGCCAAAAGTCTTCTGTCTACTCTTGCTATGTTTAATGTTTTAGCTTCTACACACACAATATCACCTGTCATACTCCACCTAAAGATCAGCTAGTCAGTGAAATGTTGTTCATGTACCAGTGGATCATTTAATGGTTTGAATCTTCTGCATGGCTACCATTATACAAATAAAAGTGTACTATTAGATGGTGAGAGTACAGAAATTCCAGCAGTAGTCTTCACAATGTGGGCTCTAAGACTGTGAAAGCATGCCAGTATCAATTTGCCATCGTTGGATCTTTAATAACTTTTCTTGGCAGGGCTTCATCTGGAAGAACTCATAATGCTCATGATCATACATACAGCACTAGATAGTAATTAAATACATACAGCACTAGAGATCATAACAATATGCAAAATGTTTTATTACCTGTTATGGTATCATACAGTGCATAAAACCCTTTCTGATGAAAATTTTCCAACATTTTCATGGACAAATTGATACATATGCTTTTGCATCATTATCATTTCATAAGAGATCCATCTGCAATAATACACCCAAATAACCAAGTGATCATCATTACAAGATCACTTGAATTTAATTCATACCAAAATGCACGGAAGCACAGATTTTTTCTTATGTCACGTGCTTGTCACCATCAGTAATATAATGCAATCTGTCCATATTTTCTTCTGTTTTTACAATCACACAGTGTGTGTCATATTGTTCATCATCCATATTTTACTATTTAAAAGAAAAATTCTAAGCCAATTAAAAACAGCAGCATGACTTAAGGGTTCTGCCTAAAATGAAAGTTGGAATGAATCATAGCTTTTCTGTGGCATCATACCTACTCAAAAACTGAACAAATTCATTGCTCCCAGAACCCTTCAATGCGCTTTTTTTATTGGCACACCAACACAGTTCACTTTATGCCAGATCAACAAAAATCCACCATCACTTCTGTCTCACCACTAACTACACAGACTTGTGCCAACAACAACGGTGCAATATCACTCTATTTCATTCCATGTTGCCAGATGTAATAACTTTTAGCAATTTCCATTTTGTAAGCTAATTTTTACCTCAACAAGCAGTAATAAAAGTATTTTTAAAGAAAATAAAAAATTTAAAACCAAAACAAAGTTAGTGAATTTTAGGATTTTTTATATCAAGTTCAAAATAATTCCAATATATACTAGTATAAAACAACAAGCTAAAATACTTTTGCATTAACGTATGAAATGAAGTCATTGTATTTAAATAGTCTCATAGTTGAGGAACTATTTAATGTCAACAGATAGTAATTAAATACATACAACACAGATATACTAAAATAGTGCATGGGCAGAAAGAGTTTAAAAAAAAAAAAAAAAAAAAAAAAAAAACAGGGATGGGTATTGGAAGAAAAAAAACTATTATCACAAATAATATATTGTTGCATTCTATAGTGGATTTGGAGTGATTGATGACAATACTTGATGAAGAATCAAAGCACAATTTATTCATCAGTATTACACAGGAGAGTTTCAAAGACACGTTTACAGCCATCAGAAAACTACAATAAACATGCTGGAACAATCAGCAACACAGCCTTCAGGCTATAACAGTGAAGACAACTTCACGGTAAAGCTCTAAAGTACAGCTCCTGACTCAGTTGATTGCTCTCGGAGCTCAAAACACTACTACTGAACACACTCAAGATAATCTCCATGATAAACTCACAATACATTGCTACTCCATGTACAGGCAGGGATTACATAGCTTTTGACCTGTCTTCGAGAACATTATGGGGGAAACTGGTAAGAATTTGTTCCAGAATATTCTCGCTTCATCTATGGCATATCACCAATTTTGTCGCCAAATGGGTGATTTTCACTCTGCCTCTCTTTGCCATTTTTCTGGCAATTTGGGAGGAACCAGGGTTGGGCATTTTGTAACAATATTATTTTAAATAAAAAAAAAAATTCAAGTACTTAAATAAAATGCAAAAAACTTACGTGTCATTTATGAAAAACATAGTAGCACGCAGGCAAATTTTTTGCATTATAGGTTTAGGCCATCTTTTCATATGATTCCTTCCCAAGACAAGTAATTTTCGAGAACAACCTGCTAGAATCTTCACAGTGTGCAAAAGCTGTAGAGAAATTATTATTATTTTACTTTTGAGTTAAAAATTTAAGCAAGTTAAATGGAAAAAAGAAAAGAAAAAATACTTATTTTTTAGCAACAAACATTTTACTATATGTTTGTTGCTAAAAAAAATTGCTAAAATATATGGATAATTAAATGGGAGGAAAAATTACTAAATGGCTTCAGAATGCAATATGGAAGAAGTTATTCACTTAAAGAGTCTATTTCTCCTTGTTATTCGGCTGCAAAGAAACTCACCATTGGCCCATGTCTAAAAGCAAACACTTTAACAATTTTCTCTGGGAAACAGCCTGTAGATGGTCATAACATGGTCAAAAGACCTTATAAAAGTTATGAATGCTTTTTAACAATTTTTTTAATACTCATTTAAAAATTTTTCTACATAATACCAGTCTTTCAGCTTTGATATTTTTATCGAAATACCTTAAATAAGATCTGGAAAGCTGGAAGAAAATTGACTGTTATTCATTATATGGAATTAAAAAAAGTTCAGAAGAATTTTATTATTGATTAGAAACAGAAAATAATAATTCGTGAAGCAATTTATTCACATAAATACTGGATACTCTTAAATCTGACCGGGCAGCAAAATCAAAAGGCAAATCCTGGGCTAACATTCAAGACACTTGGGAAAAGTTTTGTTTAAAACCCCGTAAAGAGGCTGGGGAAAACTTTAGAACTAGATAAAGAGTCTCAGAAACGTGGAGAGATAAGAAAACTATACTGGAATATCAGAACTTTCATGAACTCCTTGTAAAGACTACATCTCTTGTGTTCCTTTCCTTGTTGTTTAAATTTTTAACTTTTACTTTTATTTCCATGTTCATTAGTTCTGGTTTTTACTTTAAATGTTTGTTCTTTTGCATTATATATCATTGTTCTTGTGTGATACTTGAGCTGTTTTATATGTTTGGATTGATCCTTCCAATAAAGCCATATATCACAGCAACAACAAAATACAATAGAAAGAAAGTTGACTAACAATATAAAACAAATATGGATCGAATGCGTTTCTGTAAGAGTTTAAATTTTCATCAGGTATTAATCATAAACTAAATAAAGAATAAATTCCCAAGTTTCACAAACCGTTTAATCTTAGCATTCATTTTTAATTAATTATTTAGGTGTTTATTATAAGATTAATTGCTAATTACTATTTTATAAAATAAGTACAAAGTTGATACCATAATTTGCAATACTGAAATCACCATTTATTAAACTTATACATGCTTGGAATAAGAGAGTGGGTAGTGTATTCATTTTTTTCTTTTTCTCCTTAGCCCAAAGGGTGTTAGCCCACAAGGGATATTAATATCATTTTGGCATTTTGCATCGAAAAGTCTGTATCACTTTTGAAATTGTTGCCAACAAATATTATTGCCCTGTATTATATTTAAACTAAATAACAAAGAGGCTGCATAAATCTATGTATGTTTCTCACATTGTGATAAAACAACGGTACCTAGAGCCATCAAATTTTGACTAATGTATGTTGTAGAGACATTAGGTATATTTTTGGTAGCAGGAAAGATGAAAAATTAGAAATGCCTTTGCCGGGAATCGAAACACGGACCTCTGAAATACCGGCTTGGTGTGCTGACCACTACACTACGAAGGCACGCTAGGAAGGGGGAAGAAATACCTTGAATACTCTTCCTTTTAAAGGGTGACTGGGGATTTTAGGGGACCCAATCGCCAAATCCTGTGTGTGGACAGTCATCATCCACAACCCTTTTAGTTCCGGCACCAGTGTAGAGACATTAGTCATATTTTTGGAAGCAGAAAAGATGAAAAATTAGCAACGCCCTCGCCGGGAATCGAACCACGGACCTCTGAAATACCGGCTCAGTGTGCTGACCACTACATCATGAACGCACGCTAGGAAGGCGGGAGAAATAACTTACAATATTTCCACCTGAATATGGGCACTTAGAAGCCCAGATTTGTTTTATTACCTATTTCATATTTTGTAAAGTATTTATGAGTTTTTCATTAAGAAATTCAACGATTTCAAAGCGAGCGATGGCAACATTGTAAGCGGAAAAAAACATTTTTATCTCCAGCGCGCGAATTCGGAAATTCTAAAGATATGCTTTTTTAAAAATTATTTTGCAATACTGCTGTTGAATTGAATTTTATGGTTTAAGTGCGAAGAACATATTTAATAAATAAAGGTAAGACACAAAACATTAAAAAAAAATCCCTTTGGGCGTAATATAAAATTTGAAAGCTTTCAGATTTGTTTTTTTATATATTTAAAATTCTTTTTATGGATTATATTATTTTTTGGATATTAAGAGAAATGATAAATATAAAAATCTATAAAAAAATTCCTATTCAATAAATGAGAAAAAAAAGTTAAATAACAATAGATGGAAAAATCAATGCAAAATTATAAAGTAAAATTTACTTGCAAAAAATACACACCTGAATTGCTAAATACTTAGGCTTCTTACTGGCAGGGTTTGTATATGCAGCATTTAATCCATCTAAAACTATATGAAATGGTTTATGATGATCAATGAAATTCATAAATGCATTGAATTCCTTGTGTGATGTATTAATGAATAAATCTCTTTTTTTAAGAGATTTTTCTAGGAATGAATTTTTCAAAAGTGTGAATTCTTCATCTGTAAGTACTGATGGTTTAAGGAATCGTTTACAAGCTTCACATGCTGTCTCCCTGTGTAGAACAAAATAACATTTAAACAAGGATTGCAAAAGTGTTTTTGAGAATGAAAAGGGTGAGGGAAAAAAACTTTAGAACAGTCATTCTCAACCGGTGGTACACAAAAAAACAAAGTATTTTTAACTATTAAATTCAAACTCTCATGAAGCAAAAGAATGATTGATAGAAATTTCCTCGAAGTTCAGTTAGAGTTCGAAATTGATCAAACTCTAACTGAAGATTTAAAAAATAGCACACCTGTTCTGAACCAAAAAATGAATAAAGGCATTTCAAATAAAGCTATTCAATTTTTATTGCCATTCTGCACAACCTATTTGTGTGAATAAAGGATTTTTTTCCATGTTATATTTGAAAAATAAACACAAAGTAAAATTAAAAGTGGATCTTAGTTTAAAGTTAAAACCAAGTGAAATAACACCAGACATAAACAAATTGATCTCCAACCAATTTTTAATCTAATATTTTTTATGTGTACATATTTAATACAAATAGTCAAAAGGTTGTACAAATGGTAAAATATATACAGTCAAAAGTCGTTAATCCGGAATGATCTATAATCTGGACCTCAAAGCTACAAACATTCTGCGCGTGCGCGTAATACCTTTACGCATGCGCATAATACGTTTACGCATGCGCGTTTAATGTATAACAGACGGTATAAGCTAAGCTAAAATTATCTAATTATCTATTTCAGTTAATGTTGCAGATTGCGTTGTTCCTTAATCTTCGAATTGGATCCGGTTATTATTTTTGCAGACTGTTAGAGCAATTTTATAAAACTAAGTTGGAACTTTCGATATGTCAAATAGAATTTCGATGCTGGATCTAAAGGGAACGCATGTTTTGATGTTCATGAAACAAAAAGTGGAATTGCTGCAAAAAATGGATAAAGGCTCCTTTGTTTCTCTAACCATTTCGAAATCTGTTTATCAATTTCATGCTGCTCTGCACGGGGAGGGGGGGGACGTCGCGGCGCGCAATGAACTGGAAGTTGATCTGTCAGCACTATCCTTATCTTCAGGGCAGATGTTTTTATTTTATTCCGCTTATAATTTTGGCTTGTAATGTAGTATTTCATCTCGATGTACTCTGTCTTTGATATAATTTAAATCAAATTCCTCGTCATTATAAATATCACAAATGCAAATCAAATAGTTTTCTGGTTGAAATTTTCTAATTTCAACTGCGCATGCTAAAATTATCTAATTATCTATTTCAGTTAATGTTGCAGATTGCGTTGTTCCTTAATCTTCGAATTGGATCCGGCTGATTATTTTTTGCAGACTGTTAGAGCAATTTTATAAAAGTAAGTTGGAACTTTCGATTATGTCAAATAGAATTTCCGATGCTGGATCTACAAAGGGAACGCATGTTTTGATGTTCATGAAACAAAAAGTGGAATTGCTGCAAAAAATGGATAAAGGCTCCTTTGTTTCTCTAACCATTTCAAAATCTGTTTATCAATTTCATGCTGCTCTGCACGGGGAGAGGGAGATGTATGCTTTACGCATGCGCGCGTTGAAAGAAATGTTTAATAAAGTAAACAAATAAATATTAATCTTTTTTTTTTGTAAATTTTGATACCCTTTAGATCATAATTGCTATTTATTTCATAAATTACAGTTTCATATTTTTAATTTTATAATTTCTGCATGCCATCTTACCAGATTTAAACTGATGATCTATAATCCAGAATCGCCCGACGAGTCCGAATTAAAGACTTTTGACTGTATATTTTTTAAATATTTCAATATCAGAAACCGAAAAAAAAAATCATTAATGTAGTGGTGGTCTAAAGTTTTTGAATTTTTGTTTAGGTGTTTCGTATTAGTCAAAATGTTGAGAACCGCTGCATAAGATTATCATGATTATTTATAATTTCATCAAAACATTTTAATATACAATACAAACATGACATAAAAGACAAATCCAAATTTTAATAATAAATATTCTAAAATAATATTCCAAAAATTAATGTCAGTTGAATTGAAATAAAAGAAAAATTTGATTTAATACATTCTTTCCATGAAGAAACAAAAAATTGACTTTTTGGATGGAGAAGATGTTTATGGTAACTGACTAATTGAAAACTCAGTTGAGCTAGATTCAGGCTTAAGAGTTGTGGAAAATTAACTTAGGTGAATGGTAAAAACAATACTTATGCAAAAGGCAATAACATGACTTTGTGAGTGAATGTTAGAAATTTCTTTGAGCACACTATGGTAATTCAAAATTTTAAGAATAGCTGATCCCTCTCAAATTGTTAAGAAGAATGATAGTCTAACTGAGTTTAAAAACAAAACGAAAATTCTTTCCCGATTAGAGATACAAATTAGAATCGTCTTGGGAATGTGAATCTACACAATTCTCTGACAATAAAGATGGAAACTGAATTAAATAATGAACGTCGTAACATGTCTCGCAGACCAGTGATTAAACTAGATAGTAAAACTTCAGAAATTTGCTCGATTTTTATTGCTTCTAACTTTTGTAGAGAGAAAAACTCGTTAAACGATTGCTTAAGGTAAAGAAGTTAATCGCAATATTAGTACCGATCGTTTAATAATGTATCCAATCAGTACAAGTGCTGATACTAAAAAAAGCTTTTTGATGTTACCTGTTGCCCCCAAAGACAAATTTTCTTAGATTCCTCCTTCCACCCTAAGTAATGAGGGACAAGAAATTAGAGGCATGTTTGACTTTGCCTGTTTTGTAAAGTGCATTTTTGTGTTAATATCAAAAACTCCAGATATACAGTTGTGCACATAAAATGAGATTTTCAATTTTTGGACAGTTTTCTAAAAGATTCATTATAGATGCATTCAACAAGTAAGGTCTAGAACAAACTCCAAATATGACTTGACGATGTCTATAAATTTCTTCTCCCTTATTACTTGGGAGGGGGGGAAAGAAATCTAAGAAAATCTACGTCTTTGAGTTCTTAGATTATCTATGTCTTTGGGTTCATATGTTAGTTTTCGAAGCCTTTATATTCAGATTTAATGATTGCAACAATAGTCTATATAAGCTATTGTATATAAATATATATATATGTCAATGTTATCTATGCACACATTTGTATGTGGGAGGTATACATATGTATATATAACTTATGATACATAGTATACTGAAATTATATGTGAAATTATTGTATTTTTTCTGTATTATGTAACAGATATCTAGATATCTGGGTTAGAGTAGATTTAAGGGTACCTCTTATATGTATTATTGCAATGTTGTTTCATTTATCATTAAGTTGTTGTTTCATTTATCTTTAAGTTGTTTCATTTATCATTAATTTGTTGTTTCATTTATTGTTAAGTTGTTGTTTCATTTATAGTAACCTGTGTAGTTGAATGTTATGGAAACCCTATTATGATGTAATTGGTTGTGTGATTACGGTAAATTTGAATGATGGGAAAGATTTGTAAGGGCTTGTGGTATGTGTTGGTTAGGAAGTTTGTTGCTTGTTCTGTAGTTTAGACGGTAAAATGGCTGAATGTGGCGAGATTAATTTAAAGTTTCTGTACAATTTTGAATGAAAGGGGAAAAGAGCATTACTTGACTGGTCTGTAAACAAAAGTTTACTTAGTAGCCATTATTAAGTGTCCTGTTTGTAAGAAGGAAATGCGTATGGTTGAACGTTAGACGATAATGGCGCTTATTAGGATATTTTTTACTCTTATTTTGTGAATTTATATGGCAAAGCCACTATACAGATTCCAGTTCAAATAATTTTAGGAAGTTTTGGGATGCTGTTAAGGAATATTTTGTTTGACTGAAGATGTGTTAATTTGTAAATAAGGTAAGTGGATATTTCCTTTGTGTAGTGCTAAGATGAATTTCCTTTTTTATGTTATTTGATTGTTTGATGTAGTTTATTGGGATTATATATTTTTTTTGTTGGCTGCTCCTTTGACATTTTGAGTGAATATAGTTCGATGTGTACATGAACAAAGTCAAGGGGCTGCGCAATGCCAAGTTTATACAATTCTCTGATTTTTTTTAAGTGAAAATATGTTGATGTGTACATGGATGCCGAGTTTATGCAATTCTTTGACTTATTATTTTGGCTTTGTGTAATGGTGATTTTTGCGCTAAAAATCGCCGCTACACAAAACCAAAATAACAAGTCAAAGAATTGCACAAACTCAGTATCCATGCATCGCCGATTTTCGCCAAGAGGCACCTGTAAATATATTTTTACCGATATCTGTTACATAATGTAGAAAAAATAATAAGTAACTGGTTATTAAAGAACCCAAAAACATAGATTTTCTTAGATTCTTCCCCCCCCCAAGTAATGAAAAACAAGAAATTTATTGACATTGTCAAGTCATATTTGGAGTTTGTTCTAGACCTTACTTGTTGAATGCATCTATAATGAATCTTTTAGAAAACTGCCCCAAAACTTAAAATCTAATTCTATGTGGACAACTGTATATCTAATTTTTTTTTATATTAACACAAAATTGCACTTTACAAAACAGGCAAAGTCAAGCATGACTAGAGGTTGTTTTAATCTGCATGGTTTTAAAAGCTATGTTTGCTTGTAAAAATGTTGAAAAGCATTCTGGAGCAACTTCAATTGTAGAGATAATATGGAACATAGATAACATTTTAAGATGTACTAATTTAGAGAGCCACAGACATGTGAAATGAAAATAACCAAGAGATTATTTTTGCCAAAAGGTTTTCAATCCAATAGGTTTGTTAAAACCTTTACTTCCAGAGCTACTATTACAAGTTTGTGGATGTCAAAAATCACTCAGGAATATGAATTATCATCACAAAGATGCACAAAGATGTATATGAACTAAAAAACGTAACTTTGCCTCGTCATTTGATAATTAATATAATAAATATTAATTTGCATGGACATATGCTGTGCGCATCTTTTATCAATATCTGGCAAATAGAAAAGAAATTCTCTTTGAAAGAAATTGAAATCATGGCCCTAAGATAAACCATTTATAAGATATTCAGTCAAGCACATTTTCAAAAAATCTGTACAATTATGTGGTACAATAATCACAGTTTATTTTAATTAAAATTCAGGAATTATTTGTCAGAAATAATTATTTCAGAATAAATATTATTGAAATTTTGCATGATTCATTCACGTATATTATTTAAATATGTCTGTAATTATGTATATTATAATATATATTACAGTACAAAATTCGTAATCCGGACTTGTCGGGACTTCACCGATTTCGGATTAGGGATTTTTCCGGATTATAGATCATAAATTTAATTCTGGTAAGAGGGCATGCAGAAATTATACAATTAAAAATATGGAACTGTAATTTATGAAATAAAGAGCAATTGTGATCTAAAGGGTATCAAAATTTAAAAAAAAAAGGGTACTTTGCGTATTATCGCAACCAGGTTGGCACGATTTGTAAGTTTGAGTAAAAAAGTATGACTAGAAAGAAAATGTACATTTATTAATTACAGATAATTTTTAATACAGTTTTTTATATTATTTTGTTTTAAAATATAAAATAGCAATTAAACCCTTTTGGTTTCGAATTTGAATAAGTTGCAGAAGTATTTTTTCGGTGGAAATCTTTTGGCTATTGCTTTTAGCACTGATTGAAAAACCGTCTTCGCCATTAACAGCTTGAGCTTGCCGCCATATAAATTCAGTAAGGTACGAGTCAAGATGATTTTTACAAGTATGTTCGTTCGGTACAATTCCATATCCTTGCAACAATTCAACAGCATCTTTTTCACTCGCAGGCAGAACCCAAATACCCATAGTTAAAGTATTTCAGGGCATTCAATCTAACCAGTAAGAAAAATAATTTCTTTATGAAAAACTACGTATAACAAGTAGGGTTGTCGTAAGTAGGGTCGGCAAATTTGGCGATTTATGCGAATTTTGGCCTGGTTGCGTTAATACGCAAGTACCAAAAAACGTTTAATATTTATTTGTTTATTTTATTAAACATTTCTTTCAATGTAAGTTGTTTAAGTTACTTTGTTTTTTGTGCTAATACTTTCTCTTTAATTTTATAAACAGATATAATTTCTTGTTCAGTTACAAAGTTTCACTGTTCAAGTCCTGTAATTGCTGCGTCGAGAATACTGACTAACTTGTCAATCGCAATTTTTTCGTTTTCAATAACCTCTCTGTCTATTTCTTGACTATCGGAAGCGGTATTTCCTGGATCTAGAACCATACTACAGATTTTGCCGTCCATTAATTGATTGGGGCATTGTCATCACAATGAAAAACTTCTGTTATATCATCTTCATTTATTAGCGCTTCTCCACATTTCTTTACAAAATCCAATAACTGGAAAATTTCACCTTTAGTTGGCGATGTCCAAAAACCTTCAAATTCGCGGCTATCATGTTCATCGTCCTCACCATGAAATATGGTAGCTGCCTATAAATTATGCCAAGCATTTTTTAACGTATCTGGAGACACATCCTCCCAACGTGCATGCGTAAACCATACAAAAAAAAAGTTTGTGGCTTTGGGTTCCGGATTATAGATCATTCCGGATTACAGACTTTGTACTGTATATATTTAAATATTATTACTATAAATATATAATAATATACTATTATAAATATATAAATTACTATGATAAATAACTTTCAATAAATTAAAAATGTTTGCTTAGTAGTTTTCAGAGAAAGGAGATGAAATAACAGTAAATTACACATAAAAGCTACTTATGTTGATAATTGCAAATCCAAATGAGAGATTTATAACATTTCTCAGATTCAATACAAAATACTAAGAATTTAATATAGTATAAAATATTCACAACCTGTTGACTTTTGTATAAGAGATTTTCCATTTTGATGAATGACTGAAAAAAAAATTAATATCTATTATTTTTTTTTTACTTTATAAATTATGTAAAACTCAAGCTCCACAAACAAAATGGCAAAATTTAACAACATATAAAAAATATACAAGGCTTAAAAACAATATATTTGTTTAACATGCAATTTAACATTTTAAAAGATTTATTCATAATTTCCAGTTAAAGACTGAAAAATATCAATCAAAATTCTTTTCATAAAATAATTGTTAAATAAAAAGACAACTTTGGTAACTTTTATAATTTTTAAAGGCTAGTCTTTTATAACTTTAGAAATGAAATTACGTTAAACACTAAAAATAATTATTTTTTTATTAGTTGTATAGACAGGAATACTGCTTGAGGAGGATTATTTGTTACATTTCTATTATCAAATATTTTCCTTTCGTCTTAATTTAAAATAAAAAATAAGTGTAGCTTAACACGTTGAGCCCAGCACTGGTCCCTGGGGACCGGCAGTGAACTTTCCGTGTGGCCATGCCAGTCCCTGGGGAGCGGCTCTGGAATTTTCATTTGGCTGGCGTCGGTCTGGCGGACCGACAGTATTAACATTCGCGACCATGAGCTTTGTCACACACAGGCAGGGCTTATATGTCGGTAGCCGACAAAGCTCTAATGATGCTCAGTGGTAAAAGCTCAGTGCATGAAGTCATGGATCACCCTGCAACATTGCGTCGCTTGATCGCTCCCGCCGGCTAAACAGAAAGGACCGCAAATTCGGCGCCAGGCTCAACATGTTAAACTTCATACAGTAACTTTGCAGCCCATGAAATTTTAAGGAAAAAAAATATCGTTAGTGCTTTACAAAAAGATAAAATATGCTTTTAGTATTAATAAACTAAAATACAAAAATCAGCCCTCATCTCCTCTTTTATTTTAAATATTCATTTTAATTTGGGTGAAGAGGGAAATACAGAAATTAAAAATCAAGCAAATTCTGTGATAAAATAAACATTATTATTTATAAGAACTGTGATAATAACATAAATATTATAATAGTTTGAGATAATTTAATTAAAACTGCAATATTATGCAATATGCTTTTTACAGCGATACATACAAAATGGCTTACATGCTTGGAAAGACAAGCTCATATAGTATTAAATGTAGTTCAAACATATACATATACTATTACTTTTTCAAAAGACACACACAAAAGCAGCTACAGTATTGCAGAGATACACTTATTTATTTTCTAATGACAATTCATGCGGCATAAAGTTAAAATTAACTTTTCAAGAATATCATAACAAAATTAATCAAGAAGGAAATAATTCAGCAAAACATAATGATATATGCCACAATAGCATTTCAAAATAACAATAAAAAAAATTTTTTTTTAAACATTAATCTTACCATTTAAAGTAAACTTCAATGAGTTTAGTTACTTCTTCCTTAATGATAACTTCTTTTTCTTCAATGTATCGAAGCAATTTCACAATAAATTGATTTGCAAGCCTTGGGTCACTTTTCTGTAGTTTTATAGCATATAATAAAGACTGTTTAAAAACTATATCACTTGGAGATTCTTCAGCTCTTAGCCATTTAGTTAAAATTTCCCATGCAAATACTTCGTCATTATTTCTTAAAGCACCACATGCTAAAGAATTTTTAATATGCAAAGTTGGCTTTTCAGGTAGTTTTTTCAGATAGTCAAATGACAGACGCCAGTGTTCAGTTGCACAAAGTCCATCAATAAGATGCTCTGCAGACTTTTGGTCAAGCACAGGTAAGGCATCAATAACTGGCTTAACCATCTGAAATGTTTTATATATAACACCCTCTTGGCAATGTTCCACATGCCTGCTACAAACAGACATATATTTTAAATACGTCACAAAGTTTGGTGTCATTTTAACCGCCTTCAAATATTTCATAAAAGAATCAGCCATGTCTAATTTATTCAGTGATAAGATACTGTTCATTACAATACTACTGAAATTTGATTCCGTAATAATATTTATGTCAATCATTAAATCACCTTTTGTTTCCTCCCATTCTTCAATTGTTGAGGGGTTTTTAGAAGATAACATTTCTCTAATTTTTACTTCAGCTCTTTCAAAAATTGATCCAGGATGATAGCGACTAGAAAAAGCTCCTTCATTTATTGCAGGAAAGTATTTACTGCTAAATTCAGATTTTATCCATAATGCTTTAAAATTAAATTCCTTATTATTCTTTAAAATAACAGCAAATATATTATACAGTTGTCTTCTTTTGGAAAGAATATTATATTGTGCTCTTAATATTGCTAACATATTTACAGAACTTGTTTTGTCATTAGAGTAGAAAAAATTTTTAAAACTTTGAATGTGTTCCAGTTCCTTGTGAATGTATTCCAATTCATAAACCTGTAAAAGGTCATTACTTTAATGAAAATATTTAAAATGAAATATGTAATTAACTAAAAAAAATATAAAATGAAACAAAAATTTGAGGAGCCTATAATCCTTTTTAGAAAAAAGTTTTATAAAAATACTACAGTCAAAAGTCTTTAATCCGGACTCGTCGGGACTTCGGCGATTCCAGAATATTGATTTTTCCAGATCATCAGTTTAAATCTTGTAAGATGGCATGCAGAAATTACAAAATTAAAAACATGAAACGTAATTTATGAAATAAAGAACAATTATGATCCTAAAGGGTATCAAAAATTTACAAAAAGAAAAAGCTTAATATTTATATTTTACTTTATTAAACATTTCTTTCAATGTAAGTTGTGTAAGTTGCTTCGTTTCATGTGATAATACTTTCTCTTTAATTCTATTAAACAGACATAATTTCTTGTTTAGTAACAAAGTTCCGCTGTTCAAGTCCTATAATTGCTGTGTCCGGGAATACCGACTAATTTGTCATTCGAAATTTTTTTGTTTTCAATAACCTCTGTTATATTCTTCACTATCGGAAGCGAATTATAATGATGAGGAACTTGTTTTAAATCATATCAAAGACGGAGTTCAGATGAAATACTACATTTGGTAAGGAATTATAAGCCTTTCGCTTTAGATTCTTTACATATTAACAAATATATATCGGAAATTCTATTTGATATAATCGAAAGTTTAAGCCTACTTTTATAAAATTGCTCTAACAGTCTGCAAAAAATAAGCCGGATCCAATTCAAAGATTAGGGAACAACGCAATTTGCAACATTAACTGAATTAGATAATTTTAGCTTAGCTTACACCGTCCGTTATACATTAAACGCGCATGCGTAAATGTTTTATGAGCATGTGCACAAGCATATTCGCAGCCGTAAAGGTCTTACGCGCACACGTAAACGCCTATGTGCATGCGTCAACACGACGCATGCGCAGAACGTTTGTAGCTTTGAGGTTCGAATTATAGATCATTCAGATTATGGGTGTCCGAATTAATGACTTTTGACTGTAGTGGATCAAATAATATAATAATAATTTTTATTCAATTCAACTTCTCCAAAGCAAACTTGAAAATGCTCAGATTCTTCTCAGGATACATATTTAGAAATATTGACAATTAACATTTTTTCTTTAAAATTTAGGAGTTTAAAATATTTTTGTTCCATGATTACGTGGCATTTTATACACTTATTAAAGCAGGATTTGCCAGTGAAAAAAACCCAACTGAAAGATATAGGTAATTCCATTGAAACTAATTTTGGAATTTATAAATTATTAGATCTACATTTTATTCATATTTAGCTTAGTTATATATCAGTAAATTATATATTTTTGTTTTCTATATAATTCAACTAACCTCTTGTTAACATACTATAAACTTTTTGGATAAAATGTATACATAGACATATCGAAACTGGATGAAACTTTATTAATAACTATTAGACACACACATACATATAATAAGATGACCTGGAGTAAGCTATAAGAGATTGATAATGGTTCTCTGCATTACATCCTAGGGAGTCTTTACTGTGTAACTAGAAAGATGACACTAGAAATATTTGTAGACAGGTGTAGCCGAATTGAATATAAGTTTTATTGGTTGATTAATTATCAAAATATATCTTTCATCACACATGATCACCCCCTGTCGTGCTACCAACTATGCCATTATCTAAAGAGTATCACATTTTAGATAATGGCATAGGTAGTAGCACGACAAAGCAAACGGAGCGAAGTTGCATCTTGATTGCAGGAGAGCTGAAGCTGAAAGTACACAATTATCTAATACATAATAATATATGCCAGGCTCACCAAGAGGAAGTTTTGGTTTAGTTTGGAAAGGTTTCAGTTCTTGAAATTGCGAGTTTATATTCCGAATTAATTACGTCACCACTGTTATGCTCGCCATGCAAGATGGAATGATCTAGAAATGACACAGTCCAGAAAAATTATGATTCTTAGAATAGAGAAGAGAAATTATTGGGGTTAATTTTGATTTACATACTTTTTATCTCATATATATATATACATGTAAGATATAAAATACAAAAGCAAACTATTAACTTTAATTTGGCAATAGTCCTTTTCATTTGAGCGGTTGACCTTTACTGTACAGTGTTCCTTGGTTTCTGTGTGAAAAAAATCACAAAATGGTATTGGTTGTTCGTAGCCGGCTATGTGAAATGCGTTTTGCGGTAACCCTAATGTTGGCGAAAATTGTTTTGCCCCCCAGTTTTTGTCATTAAAAAGGGGATATTTCTGTGAATATCGCAAAACATGGTGTGATAAATTTAGATTTTGGCCATTTTTTATAATAGTAACCCTTTTGTATGGTTTGGTTTTCTGTTCCTGTGTTTGTTTTCACGTGCGTGATATGGTCTTGGATTTTGAACTTGTTGTTATTTTGCTGTGGGCACCATCATTTGAGTATGTCTGAGGTGGGTAAGAGGATGAATGTTGATTAACAGCGAATGAACTAACCCCCCAATTTATTGAATACTTCGGGAGGATGGGACATTGGAAGCGGAAGAAAGTAATGTTACAAATTTAAATTTCTTTTATATATTCATCTCTCTGTGTTAATGTTTGTTAAAAGATGTTTAATTTTGTTAGAAATTTGATTTTTGTTATTTGTTTGTATCTGTGTGTTAAGACAGCATGAATTTTTTCTGGTTCATGTTTTTACTTTGTTTTAGCTCCTTTGTCCGTGAAAAAATTGATTGTACGGTCAAAGTTAAGGGAGAGTAGAATGCCTAATTTGTGCAATTTTCTGATATTTTTTTTTTTTTTTTTTTAAGTTCCATCGGTCAATGTGTACATGGACAAAATTAAGCAGTTCATAATGCCTAGTTTGTGCAATTCTGATTTTTTTTTTTCAAGTTAAAATAGGTCGATGTGTACATGGACACTGAGTTTGTGTAAGTATTTGACTTCTTGTTTTGATTTTGTGTAGCGGGTGGAAGGATCAGCACCATCTTGAAATTAGTGCTGATCCTTCCAGGTGCCGATTTTGGCGTAAAAAAAGAGGCGATTCGCCAAGGGGAAACGTAAATTTTAACCAATTGGGCTACTTTTCCTTTCTATTCTACAAATAGTAGCTGTTTATAATATATGAATCTAAAGTGTGTCATTTCAAAATTAAAATAGATAAAAACTAAAAATAGATCGATGTGTACATGGTCAAATTAATAACTCTTTAACTGAATAAAAAATTATGTCTGTGTACAGAATTAAAGAGAGAGTATTATCACAAAAAACGAAGCAGCTCAAACAACTTGCAAAAAATGTTTACTAAAATAATAATAATAATAAAAAATTTTTTTTGTTAATTTTGATACCCTTTAGATCATAAATGCTTCATTATTTCATAAATCATGATTTTATATTTTTAATTTTATTATTTCTACATGCCATTTGACTAGATTTAAACCAATGATCTAATATCCAGAAAAATCCCAAAATCCGAATCGCTGAACTCCCGACGAGACCGGATCTGGGACTTTGAACTGTACTTGCTATTTTAGTGTTGTGTAATGGCCATTTTGAAATTGTGCTTTGCTGGCCAATCGCCAAGGGGCACCCTGAAATATATTTTTACCAAAACAGCATATAAACTAAGGTTTCCCAGCAACACATTCTTTGAGTGGAAAGAAAAAAATTTTCACAAAATTACAAATAGAATAACTAAGATGAAATTTACAGGTAATTTAATCTGGAATACAATTAAGAACAAAACACAAGAAATTAAGCAGAAATCTACTGCTGTTAGATACTTTATAATTCAGTATATGATTTATTAGTTATCATTAGATGAGTATATAATGTATAAGAGAAATTTTTAATGAGCAAAAATCTTTCAAAACTTAAAATATTTATATAATTTATTTTTTTACTAGGTTTATATTTATATAATTTATTTTTTTACTAGGTTTTGCTTTTTAAACTATCTTTTATCATTGTGCATGCACCGTATTTCATGACACCTTTTTTTTTTTTTTTTTTTTTTTTGTAAATCACTCAACGGTTAAAGAACAAGTTTGGATTACATAAAGAATATTTGGTTAGGGTAGATTTAAGGGTGCCCCTTGGATTATCGCTAACTTGTTGTTTCATTTCATTTATGCTAACTTGAGGAGTTGAATGTAATGGAAACCCTATTATGATATAATTGGTTGCGTGATTGTGGTGAATTTGAATTGTAGGAAAAGATTTGTAAGGGCTTTTGTGTGTTGGTTACGAAGTACGTTGGTTATTTTGTGTTTTACACGGTAAAATGACCGAATGTGGTCAGATTAATTTGAATTTCTGTATGATTTGGCACAAAAGGGAAAAAAGTATTAATTGACTGGTGTGTAAATGAAGTTACTTAGGAGCCATTATAAGTGTCCTGTTTCAGGAAGAAAATGCATATGTTCGAATGTCGAAGGATACCAGAACTACGGAGGATATTTTTTACTGTTATTTTTATGAATTTATGTGGCGATGCCAGTATACAGATAAATTTAGGAAATTTTTTGATGCTGTTAAGAAATTTTGTCTGACTGAAGACATGTAAATTAACAAAGAAGGTCAGTGGATATTTCCTCTGTGTAGTCCGAAGACAAATTTCCTTTTTTATGTTATTTGTTTGATTTAAAATGTGGTTTATTGAAATTATATATTTTTTGTTGGCTGCTCGTTTACTTTTTAAGTACAAATAGATCGAAATGTACATGGTCAAAGCCATAGGAGTGTGCAATGCCTAGTTTGTGCAATCCTCTGATGTTTTTTTAAGTGAAAATAAGTCTATGTATACATGGATACCAAGTTTGTCCAATTCTTTGACTTCTTAGTTTGGAATGTGTAGCGGAGATTTTTGGCACCAATGTTAAGTTTAATGCAAAATTTTTACAGTTTGCAAATTCCTTTCTTTATTCTTATCCAGTATTGAAAAAAATTTCTTTTTTTTTAGGTTAATATATCTTTTG